TTCATTCCCTTCAGCTACTGGGATGATCAAACTATATAAATATATATATTATATATATATATATAAAAATATATACTTATATACCATAATTTGGAGACGTGAATGGGGGAAATGTTTTATCCAAGTGTCCTCTTTCTGCCTGCTACGTGCTCTTACAATATGACATGAGAGCATTTTTACAGCCCTGAAGATCTTTGCAGCCCTTAGTGGGACAGGGGATGGCTACAAAAATATAGGTTTGAGTAAACTGTGGTTTCTCATAAGCACTTGTGTGAATACACTGAAACCCACAGCGATTAAACAGACTAATTGCAAAGGATAATGAACTTAGCTTTTCCTCTATAAAGGGGGTGCTGCTTTGTGCTGTGCTTGACATACACAGAGAGGGTAGACTCAAAAAATTTAGTTGCTGGCAATTGTCACAAGAGAGACACTGAGAAATCCCAGGGTTTTGTTACAGTTTTTGTCGGTAATGACACAGAGCAAGTGTGGTGACTGGTTCTGCAGTTCCTCATCCTGTTCACACCAGGGAGAGTAAAATTAAACGTCATCTTTAGGACCAGTGTAAAGAAAGTGGGTGTGTAGACATAAGAAATGGTCAATGTCAGCTCTAATCTCCAAAGCAAAGAGATGCCACCTCCTCATTCTTGCGAATCCCTGATATTTTGGTTTAAAAAGTGGGTAGTACAATACTAGGGGGTTAAAGGGGCAAAGGGCTTTAGCAAAAAGCAGTCTGTGGTGACAGACAGGCCTGGGAGCGTCCTAGCCACATCAGCCTCACTTCTGCCAGTGGGCTGAGGTCACCCGGCCATGGCAGCCCTGCTCTCTGCGGTGGCATCTGGTTCCTCTGAGGTCCTCTCCTCTCCCTCACTTCTGGGTTCACGCTCGCAGTACTATGCACTTGGGTGGTCCAGTCACAAGGCAGATGTGAGAGCTGTGGTAAATGGGGATTTTAATTGCACAGTGACAGAGAATGTGTAAGATGGATTCTGCAACAGAGCTACTGCTTAGTGATGAAGGACTTTTTTTTTTTTTGGCTACTGAAGAGGTGAGATTCCAACTATGTAAATGCCACAACAGGTCGGCTCTCTGTATTTCTGTATTCAGCAAGGTCTCCATATTTCCAAAATACATTTTTAACTGTTCTGATGTAATTTTGATGTTTTCTGCCTTTTTTTTTATTGAGAGCAAACTCTGGAAAAGGATAAAGGATATTATGCTAAATGAAAAGCACAAGGCCACGCACGTACTTTAACAGAACCATTTTGAACTTTTGCTGAGATCTCTTGAAACACTCCCTATTTTCTGAACAAAAATGACCTTATTGACAATGTAATTCTTCAATTTGTAACTTTTCAATACCAAAGTGCTACTGCATCTGACTTAACAAAAGAAGCAAAATCATATAAAAAAAGAGAAATCTTGAAAAACAAATGGTTTTAAATAAGTCCAGCTGTTTTGCTGCCTGCAGCCAAGGATCTTTTTAATTTGAATCCTTTTAATTTTTTTTTAAACATCAAACACTGATCTGAAGTCCTGCTTTCAAATACTCTCTGAGTTGACCTGCAATTATTTCACTCCTTTAAGAGGTACATTAAATAATAATCAGCTAATTTGGAACGTACACATGTCAACATCAGCAGTTTGTAATTAATGAGTAGTACAACAACTGCATTCAGACCAAACCCTCAAATAAAATAGTGCCATAAACTTTACAGTGACATCTGATATGTTTGTGCTGTAACGATGGGCAACGATGACGACTGTATTAACATGCTGTTAGTATAAGCCTTGCATATTTGCTACAGGACAGAATATGGTGTGCACCAGTTTTAAATACCCTTCCTCTTCCCTCAGAAGATGGTGGAGGAGGAACCGTCAAGGTCCCTTCTTTGGTACCCTGCTTTCCAGATGAGCCAGACAACCCTCTTCAGCTGGAGTTATGATGTGATGCACGGACTGATCTATTTTCCAGTGTGCTGGAACGTGGCTTTTGTACTGCTCAGAAATCTTGGCTCTGCTGAGCTGGGAGCAAATCTCACACCGATTCCGTCGGAGCCAGGACTGCCCCCTTGCCATGCTGACTACGTGTTGGCTCTCGCTTTTGAAAGACTTGGAGGCCTCCACCAATGCTCTTGGGAAGCCCAGGCAAGCTTGGGAGCAGAACGGGGCCATATGGAGATGTATTTAGTTAGGGAAAATTGGGTCTGCCTTAGGAAATGTGCGCATCCTGATTACTGATCCTGAGGGTCACCACAACTGGTGATGAAGGGGAAGCGAGGAAGGAGCAGGGAGAGATGACTCCACTGGGTGGGAAGGTGTAGAAACTCACAGGGATTTTGGTGCCTAAATCATTTCACTGGGAGTTGGGCACCTAAATGCCCCTGAGGATCTGAGCCCAGTTAGCTGAGCAAAATGAGAGTGAGATAATTGTAAACAATATTTCTAGGTAATTAGGAGGTCACTTTACCCATCGTTATTCCAGCCTTTTTCAATGTGATAAATTTGACTTTGGCTGCTACCAAAAAAGGCAATTGCTGATCTTTTTAATATAGGCATATTTAAATAATAATAGTATCAACAAATAAGAAAAGTCTAAATATCAAGCATAAATATCAATGAACTCATCAAACTAGTACAGTAGTTGAAAATGACCCAAGGCTGTAGCCGTTGTATTAAAAAAAAAAAGTCCAAGAGAAAAAAGTTAAATTAACTCATTGAAAAAGGGGCTGATTCTTTCATTTGACAAAGCAAGAAAGAAGCAAGCATGATTAAAACAAAAAAAAGAGTAAAATCTTTTTTTTTGCAATTTATAAGGTGCCAAGAGAAATAAAACAAATTAGATGCAAAGCAGGATGAGCTGCATCCTAAAAATAAAAACAAACCCCAAAACAACAAACCCAAAACAAAACAAAAAAACCCCAGCAATAAAAAATTTCCATATTCTTTGGAATATACAACTTGGTTTAAAAAAAAAAAAAAGAAAAGAAAGAATGAAGTTCAACATATAAAACCTCTCATTCACAGCATTGCTAAAACAGAAGCGTTCACAGTTTCCCTCTGGGAATCTTCCTATACCTCCTTACAGTTAATATGTCCATAAGATGCAGTAAACTCGCTAAGATTTTTTTTTTTTTTTTAAGGTATTAAGTCTTAAAAATAGAAGTGAACCGAAATTCTCTTTAGGGCTGTGGAGACCTTCAAGCTCAGGCAGGTTAGATTGCCACTGGCCTGGAAACAGACTGGATATTTTTCTACCCAACCTCACTACCTCCGGACCACCAACTCAGGCGTCCTCCTTTCCAGAAGCTCAGCCCCGGCAAGGGATGCTTTGCTGGAGCAATGTCGCTTGGCCCGGGGCTGGCTAATGCAGGCCACCGCTCCTGGGAGCGCTGGCTTCTGGAGGGTTTCCTTCTCAAAGTGATGTATGAAGATGGCAGGGCCCATAAGCAAGACGGGTGTTTATGGGATACCTACGGGCACCGGGAAATGAAAAGCACGTTAGTTCTGGCCCATAACTACTTAAGAATTCATTCAGTATGGTCGCCACACCGCTTCCTCTAGCCTGGCTGTGGTGGCCATGTTAGTGGGGGAGTTGCTGTGGCTCCCTTCTGCCTCGACCACATCGCTTTGGTTGGGGAGGTTGGGATTGAGGAGCGTCGATCCCGTGGAGGCGTTGGTGCAGGGGGGGTGGATGCGTGCTCTACAGTTAAACCAAAGTGGGGCCAATACTGCCAGAGCAGAGCTATCCCTCACCCGCTCTCCGTGCGGTCATCGTAGTGCTCATGGATCTGGATATTTCAGATTAATTTCAATAAAAGTGGCAATCAAAGAGGAGTGCAAAGCTCTCTCCCTGTTTTGTGTGTGTGTGTGTTTGCTCTTAGTGACCTTACAGCACACGCAATTATTTACACTTCCAGAGTGCCCTTGTCCTCAGCGGGTGGGGAACAGGGACCCAGATCTCAAGCTCCTTGACTCACCAGGAACACTGTTGGGGCCTAAATATAAACTGACCAGCTTCTGCATGGTCTCTTTGTGCACCCAGTTTTCTTTGCTGACTCGAATGAGAAGCTCCGTGGAGCAGAGATTGTCCTTCGGGTGCATGAACCTGCACAGGTGGGATTTACACTCACAGGCTCAGCCCAGTTGTCACCACTCAGGAGCACAGTTCTCCACTCACTCTCAACACAACCACAGTCAAGATAAATCAGATTCACTCAAGGTCTTCGTATCTGGGTCCTCACATAATGTCTACATAATTTCTACTAACTACTGAAAATCTTGGCTCTAATGAGGGTGTAAAAAAGGACAACGATAGTACTGCCTTTCTAAAGCAGAATGATATATATTTGGGGGTTGGCCTTCTTTCTTCTTTCGTGTGTGCTTGAAGCCTTTCTCAGCCTGCTAAGTGAAATGTTTTATAGGACAGTCAAATCCCGCTCCGTTTTGTCTGACATCCATGGAAGTATGCCCGGTCCCATTGTCTCCTTCCCTGGTGTGCAAGGATTAAAAAAGCAGAGCAAATTATGGCCTCTTTAGGAAGGATCTTCATCATGACTCAGATTAATGGAAGGTGTCAGTCCCTAGAGCTGGCAGCTATGCGTGATTAAAATAACAACAATAATAATTAAGAAAAAATCTCTCCAGAAGACAACTTCTTCTGTCAGACAAGGCGTGGAGTCTGCAGAAGAGGAGCCATGTGCTGAAGGAAATACTCATGAGAAGAAGCAGAGAGAAAACAAAGCTCTTGGCTCTGACCGGATTTAAAGCTAGAACAGACACACTTCAGCGCCAAGTTCTGAAAGCTCATCAATGACACAGCCAGCACACTTTGATGAATTTCTGTAAATTTCTTAGAAAAGCTCTGACGCACGTTGTATGCTTCCTTTTTGAGTTTGCCTTCCATTTTTTTTCTGGAAGATTAATGGGACCCCTGACCACATTCCCTTTCCCAAGACCTTTAGATTTAACATTGCAAGATTTTTTTTTTTTTTTTTTAAGGTATTAAGTCTTAAAAATAGAAGTGAACCGAAATTCTCTTTAGGGCTGTGGAGACCTTCAAGCTCAGGCAGGTTAGATTGCCACTGGCCTGGAAACAGACTGGATATTTTTCTACCCAACCTCACTACCTCCGGACCACCAACTCAGGCGTCCTCCTTTCCAGAAGCTCAGCCCCGGCAAGGGATGCTTTGCTGGAGCAATGTCGCTTGGCCCGGGGCTGGCTAATGCAGGCCACCGCTCCTGGGAGCGCTGGCTTCTGGAGGGTTTCCTTCTCAAAGTGATGTATGAAGATGGCAGGGCCCATAAGCAAGACGGGTGTTTATGGGATACCTACGGGCACCGGGAAATGAAAAGCACGTTAGTTCTGGCCCATAACTACTTAAGAATTCATTCAGTATGGTCGCCACACCGCTTCCTCTAGCCTGGCTGTGGTGGCCATGTTAGTGGGGGAGTTGCTGTGGCTCCCTTCTGCCTCGACCACATCGCTTTGGTTGGGGAGGTTGGGATTGAGGAGCGTCGATCCCGTGGAGGCGTTGGTGCAGGGGGGGTGGATGCGTGGCGGGGACCGGTCTCCCCCCGAGATCATGGAGAACTGATAGGAGCCGGCGGAGGTTCCGTAGTAGAGGTGGTAGGAGGGTGAGCTGGTCTGGAACGGGCTGCCTTGGGCCTGTGATGAGCCAGGGTAGGGAGGCGGGAGGTAAGTGTGGTATCTCGTGGCCGTGGACATGGCAGACATACCGATTCCTATCCCTGAACTGACGGGCGTTGGCGTGTAGGTGAACGCTCCCGGGTAGTGCATCCGAGGGTCGGAGATGGAGGGGAGCGCCGAGAAGGAGCGGTCGATTCCCACCCGAGGGTCACTGAACGCAGTCAAGTCAGAAGCACCTGGGTGGTGGGGAAGGGAGACAGAGAATTGTTGAACTGGCAGGATGGAGAGTCACCTGGTTGAGGCAATAACCAACATCCACACTCTGCTCTACAGTTAAACCAAAGTGGGGCCAATACTGCCAGAGCAGAGCTATCCCTCACCCGCTCTCCGTGCAGTCATCGTAGTGCTCATCGATCTGGGTATTTCAGATTAATTTCAATGCCAATACTGCCAGAGCAGAGCTATCCCTCACCCGCTCTCCGTGCGGTCATCGTAGTGCTCATGGATCTGGATATTTCAGATTAATTTCAATAAAAGTGGCAATCAAAGAGGAGTGCAAAGCTCTCTCCCTGTTTTGTGTGTGTGTGTGTTTGCTCTTAGTGACCTTACAGCACACGCAATTATTTACACTTCCAGAGTGCCCTTGTCCTCAGCGGGTGGGGAACAGGGACCCAGATCTCAAGCTCCTTGACTCACCAGGAACACTGTTGGGGCCTAAATATAAACTGACCAGCTTCTGCATGGTCTCTTTGTGCACCCAGTTTTCTTTGCTGACTCGAATGAGAAGCTCCGTGGAGCAGAGATTGTCCTTCGGGTGCATGAACCTGCACAGGTGGGATTTACACTCACAGGCTCAGCCCAGTTGTCACCACTCAGGAGCACAGTTCTCCACTCACTCTCAACACAACCACAGTCAAGATAAATCAGATTCACTCAAGGTCTTCGTATCTGGGTCCTCACATAATGTCTACATAATTTCTACTAACTACTGAAAATCTTGGCTCTAATGAGGGTGTAAAAAAGGACAACGATAGTACTGCCTTTCTAAAGCAGAATGATATATATTTGGGGGTTGGCCTTCTTTCTTCTTTCGTGTGTGCTTGAAGCCTTTCTCAGCCTGCTAAGTGAAATGTTTTATAGGACAGTCAAATCCCGCTCCGTTTTGTCTGACATCCATGGAAGTATGCCCGGTCCCATTGTCTCCTTCCCTGGTGTGCAAGGATTAAAAAAGCAGAGCAAATTATGGCCTCTTTAGGAAGGATCTTCATCATGACTCAGATTAATGGAAGGTGTCAGTCCCTAGAGCTGGCAGCTATGCGTGATTAAAATAACAACAATAATAATTAAGAAAAAATCTCTCCAGAAGACAACTTCTTCTGTCAGACAAGGCGTGGAGTCTGCAGAAGAGGAGCCATGTGCTGAAGGAAATACTCATGAGAAGAAGCAGAGAGAAAACAAAGCTCTTGGCTCTGACCGGATTTAAAGCTAGAACAGACACACTTCAGCGCCAAGTTCTGAAAGCTCATCAATGACACAGCCAGCACACTTTGATGAATTTCTGTAAATTTCTTAGAAAAGCTCTGACGCACGTTGTATGCTTCCTTTTTGAGTTTGCCTTCCATTTTTTTTCTGGAAGATTAATGGGACCCCTGACCACATTCCCTTTCCCAAGACCTTTAGATTTAACATTGCAAGATACACTATGGCATGGGATGGCAGGAGCTTCGGGGTAGCTGAGGCTGAAGGTGGCATCTGACAACCTGCCAGATTTGAAATGGTACTTCCACACCTCATTCCTGAGAAGGAACTTGAAACTGCCTGGGCACATCACTTATCAGAGGAGGGTTTCTTCTGTCAAAGAAGTTCGGCAAAAAGCAGAATAATGAGACTTAGTGTCAAGGTGTTTCAAATTTGTCTCGTATCTTTGCTTTTTCTTTTGTGGCGCTGTGTCTTTAGATGCTAAAGCCTAAAAAACCCTCAAATTTGCTCTTTGTTCTGACAAGGAGGAACTTCTTAGATAGACAGTAAGTGTGTGTGGCAGTAACGGGACTGGGGAGAAAATACTGTGAAAGATTTTTCTGGGAATACTGGGATTTTTCTGGGAATACGTTTAATATAGAAGTAACATTTTGGAAGCATTATAAAAAACACTTATGATGTGGAGAGATGAGCCCATATGTACGGAACTAAGGAAAGAAAGAATGCAGACATGGGAATGAAGCTCTTCTAGGTTCTTTCACAAGCCATGGAGAAACTATGCCTTCCACAAAGTAAATCACTTTGACCACTGGCAAAAAAAGCACCAACAAGCCCTAGCGCTGGTGCTCTACCTCCAAGCTCACCGTGTGCCACCAAAGAAACACAAGTGTGTTGTTACTCCACACACACATGGCTCTCCTCCCTTGGACTGTGCACTCCTGGGGGCAGTTCACCATTGAAAGCCCTTGGTGCTCATCTCGCGCACAGCACAGTAAGGGCTCTGGTACACAATGACAACATCTGGGCACTACAGCAATGCAAAACACACCACATTTTAATACTCAGTGCGTTCACTCCCTGGAGTGCAACCTCAATCTCCACGCTGGTAAAGGTAAAATGTGATTAACAGCTCCGTTCAATCTGATTCACATATCCACACCTACAAGTACACACACGTCAGGCACCCCTGTATAGGGTTTGAAAAATCAAAATAGCTGGTAAATATTGATTTCAAACAATTCTGTCAAGAAAAATTACTTTTCTAACTAAAAAATCCTTGATGAAATAATTTGTTTTACTTGAAATTTTCTAGTTGCTATGAAGATTTTTTTTCATCCTGCTCCGTTTTGGCTGTTTCTGCCTTTCGCCAGTGGAAAGGGTTGCAAAGGGAAGGAAACACAGGGGAGAAAGCAAAAAAGAGTCTTTTCATTTTAAAAGAAGAGCGTGTCGATGAAGAATCAGAATTTTTATAGATTTTTTTAAAAACAATAAATTTCCTTTTCTTTTTCTTCTGAAAGGTTTCAGGTAGTTTCAGCTATCTCTAAGATGTAATTAGCACCCAGACCTAACAAATAATTTACTTCTGGTGGGCATTGTCCCTGTGACTCTTTCAAAGCAGTCTCTATATGACAACAATAGGACAGGCTGGAGCGTGTTCAAGTGATTCTCTCTGATCTTAGAAGAAGCCCTGAGTATTCAAATGAGAGCAATATGTGCGGCCAAAGAAGATATTTTTGAAAAAGCTGTGTGCAAATTTAAATTATATGGCTCTCATTCATTTTAAGAAAATTCCTGCTATTGAACACACCCATATTGGTTCAATATGTGTGTGTTAGAGTCAGCAGATGGTCAGTTGAGTATGGTGGAAACCAGGGGGGTAGCTTTCACTTCCACGCTACATTCTTATGTTGGCTTGTAAAGCTCTGCAGTACAATTTGATGAAGATGTAACAAGACAATCCAGTGCAACACTTAAAAATGTCAAACCCCACCATCCTGCAGTCAGTGTGTCCACCCATAACCTGCTGTGCTCTGGTCTGAATTTAGAGTGAGGGAAGGAGACAGAACTGAAATATCTGTGGCATTCATTTCTTGGCAGATATGATAGCACTCCAAACTATTTTTATAGTTCCATACATCTTCAAAGTGCTGCTTTCTTCTCTTTTTTTTTTTCCTCTTTTTTTTTTTTTCTTTTTTTTTTCCTCTTTTTTTTTTTTTCTTTTTTTTTTCCTCTTTTTTTTTTTTTCTTTTTTTTTTCCTCTTTTTTTTTTTTTCTTTTTTTTTTCCTCTTTTTTTTTTTTTCTTTTTTTTTTCCTCTTTTTTTTTTTTTCTTTTTTTTTTCCTCTTTTTTTTTTTTTCTTTTTTTTTTCCTCTTTTTTTTTTTTTCTTTTTTTTTTCCTCTTTTTTTTTTTTTCTTTTTTTTTTCCTCTTTTTTTTTTTTTCTTTTTTTTTTCCTCTTTTTTTTTTTTTCTTTTTTTTTTCCTCTTTTTTTTTTTTTCTTTTTTTTTTCCTCTTTTTTTTTTTTTCTTTTTTTTTTCCTCTTTTTTTTTTTTTCTTTTTTTTTTCCTCTTTTTTTTTTTTTCTTTTTTTTTTCCTCTTTTTTTTTTTTTCTTTTTTTTTTCCTCTTTTTTTTTTTTTCTTTTTTTTTTCCTCTTTTTTTTTTTTTCTTTTTTTTTTCCTCTTTTTTTTTTTTTCTTTTTTTTTTCCTCTTTTTTTTTTTTTCTTTTTTTTTTCCTCTTTTTTTTTTTTTCTGTTTTTGACAATGATATGTTGGGCCCCAAACCCTATTTCTTTACTCTTTGCACAAATCCCAGCAAAGCCTTGGAGAAGGCTTGCTGCAGAGGCCCCACGATAGGCTTCACCGCAACTGGGGAAAAGCTGTGGCAGCACCTTAGGACATGGCAACCGGTTTGCGTTGGAGGCAGCCTCGAGGCTTTGGTGAAGCCCGGTGTGAGGGGACCAACTTTTAGGTACTTACTGGACAGCCGGCTTGAAAGCTCTGCGGTGAGGGATGTCATGCCGCTCGCCCTGCCGGGTGATATTGGCGTGGCGGGGTGCACGGAGGGGGTGGCAATGGAGCCCAGGTACTGGTAGGACTGGTCGTAGGACCATGGCGGAGATGGCTGCACTTGCCTTGTGTCTGCAATGAAAAAGAGACCTATAGGCTGTTTTGAATGACAAAACTTTGCAATCAAGTCTGTGAACTAAACCACATGGTGGAAAGAGAAACTTAAATGCCAAGATAATTATGTTTCAGTTCCATAATCCCCTTTGTCAAGAGACCTTCAGATGAATTGCTTTCTAAAACATTATTTGTGCATCTGTGAGTTTTGATGGGTTGAGTTTTTCCTCTGAAGCTTTTTGATATTTCACATTGACGGTGGGCAGGGAAAAGCGGTCAGGGAAAAGCAGATTAAGCTTTCCAAGGTGAAAGACTGTTCATTGCTGAGATGCATTAGTATTTCGGGCTGTGTGTTCGCAGCCCTTTTAGCCAAAAAGGTATGTCTTGCATGGCACCAAGGAGACAAAAATACCGAACTGTGAGTGTTTCTGTGCAAGTGTGTAAGAAGAGAGAGGAAAACAAGATGAAAATGTGTGTGCATTTCTGAGTGCACAATTCAGAGTGACGGGTACATCTACTAGCAGTGGTTGAACTTCAGAAGCAGAAAGCCCTACAGAAATTCCATGGCACTGCTAAGCTGAAAATGCAGACACTCTGTGAGTATGGGCTTTCTGTAGAAACTGCTGCTTCTTGGAAGCAAAATCTCAAATGCAAAGATGCATAAAACATTTACAGAAAAGCACTAACCTATTATTTTCTAGCCACACGACTAGTTTCATTGATGTTTGAAATCAGAGATGCACGGCGGGGAGTTTGTCCCAACCAGTTGCACCAATGTAGAAACAACTCTTTTCTGCTCATTTCATCTTTGCATATGAAGGGGGCACCTTTCAGTGTATAGAAAGCTCTAATTTTTGTGTAAATCAAAGTGAGAAATGTTCCTCCCTCCTTACCTACCCAGGATTTTTTTAACTACTTTTAGTAAAATCTTTTCTATTTTCTTCAGCTCTAAGAGCATTCTCCTGCAGCTCCATCTAGCTAATTCCCTTTTTGAAAAAAGCAGATGTTGGATGAACTGCGTTCAGATAAAACTGATATCAACATGGAAGGGAAATTTCCCAAGCCTGAGATGAAGACTTTCATCTTCCATCTGGAAATTATTATTGTGTTGTGCTTTATGGAGATGAGTTTTACATTTTGTTTGTTTCATCTGTTTAGAATGAAAGATTTATACAAAACTCCAGGGTTTTAAAAAAGAACTCATGATGTCACTTGCAGAATAAGGTATTGTAAAGATTTTTCTGCTGAGTAACATGTTCAAATTCAGATATTATTAATATTTAATTTTTTTTCAGGCGGACTTCCTTAAAAATAAATTCAGTTGACTCATGCTGTTTTAAAAGCAACGTCCAATCAGATTAAATGGACTTCAGTAGAAACAAACAAAAAGACATAGGCACAAAGCCTGTCTTATTTGGAATTACAACATCAACTCATTGTTAACGTATGGTCAGTGTTTATTAAAGATGACGGAGAGACAGATGAGGGAATTCAGTCTCCAGGGGTAGCATTAGGATAAATACTACAAAGCATCAGCAGAGCAAGCCTTGTAATGGTACGGCACCGTGTGTTTCAGTTCTGAAATGGGGTTAATTAAATCATTACTCCCTTATTTCAGCACGCAGCCCCATTTATTTCAGTTCAACAATGCGGCCGGGTGCTACAATCATGCAACGTGGGCTGGAGGGATCCCAGCTCCGGGATGGAAAGTCCCTCAGCTAGTCCTCCTGCCTGGGGAGCCCTCCATGGGCTCTGCCAAGGCTGACACCACGGGTGACAGAGCCTCCCCACTCCCCCCCCGAGGGCTCTGTTCAACCCTGTTACCGCAGAAGCCACTGAACCCCTTTGGCTGGAAATGTTTTATCACCTGCTTTCAGGTGTTCTGTCCTTAGGTCTTTGCACTGCAGAGAAGAGGGGAAAAGTCTATTTTCAGGGGAATCTGGGTATGTGCAAAGGGGGTGCTGCCACCCATCCTTGTTTTTCAGGCTGAAAGGAGAGAACATACCCTGTTTTCTCCTGTTACAAGCTGTCATTGCATGCTGGGGAAACTCTGTCTGCCACTTTTCTCCTGTTTCTTACATTGCTGGCTTTTCAGGACAAGAGACAAGATATTGTGCTCTACCTCGCCCAGCATGCATGGGGTCCTGGTCCATAAAACAGCTCCAAGTGCAATAAACAGATGGACAATAAGAAGAAGATGCAGGAAAAGCTGCAGCAGCCACCACAGCGGCATAAAAGGAAGCAAGACCTTCTTACAGATTTACTAAACACTGACAAGACTAAATTGAAATATGGTTTCTTTCTTTCAGTGCTACTAGAATTAGCTTTGTGCTATGTCCCGACTAGAAACCAGATAATGGACCATGTACACGTCTAGTAACATCCAGACTTAAGAGGCTACCAAGGTATCTGACCCTCCTCATCCATTTGCTGTTATTACTGACCTCTCGGGTACTTGAACCAGTGACAGACAGCCCGAGAGACCCCCATTATTAATCTCCTCATCCCATTAAGTCTTCCTTAAGTGAAAGTTCAAACTACCAATCAATTTTCCATCTAGGTACCTGTATTCCCAATCTCTGTATTTGCTCTTAAAGATTGGCTTTTTGACATCAGACTGGTTAACAAGTCGCAATCTATTCAGTGATGTTAATATAATGCGTTATATTATATAGGCATATTAAAGCAGGTTGTGCTGACTAACCCCAGGCATCACCTTCACAGCTTTCTAATAACAAGTGGAGAAAAGTATCACTGCAATAGCATTTTTATGGCAGCATTTCAGCATCAAGAGGCAGATTCAGCTCCCAGTAAAGGCAAGGTTTGCATTTCCAGCAGCTTCAGTAGGATCTGGATTAGGGGCCTCAAATAGCATTTTATTTTTGTGATATCTGCTTTTCTTCAGCTTTCAGGTTACCCAAAATTAAACTGGAATGAGTTCAAATTTGCCACAGAACTAAACTACTCGAAAAAGGCAGCAAACTTTTCCTGAATCCATCTCTTCTCTGCTTTTGAAATAAAGTGGTCCACTTCTCAGAGGTTAGTAGCTTGGCGTGGGAAACTGAATGTGTGGGTTCGTGTGGCTGAAGTTAATTTGGTGAAAATATGCTGCAAATAAATGGGAGTTGCTTCCCAACTCAGAATATCTGTGAAGAGATTTGCAGGGAGAGCTACTTCAACAAAGGGAAATAACAGGGCTTTGGGCCCACACGGTTTTAAAGCCAAACAGGATTCCAAAATCATTTAAAAGCAGATCAAAATAGCACAAAACCAAGGAAGTTGCTCCAGTTGGTGATCTGTGCCCAATCCTCCCGGTATTTCTCCCATTAGCAAGTACTTTCCTTTTCTGCTTTTTATGGTGTGAGAAAATGTATTTAAAACATGAAAACAGTTATTAATTGCAATAAAACACTCCAGGGCGAGAATTATGGTGCAATAATTCACACCTTGCTGTGTAGTCACGAGCTCTCGGCCTCTAGCCTCATGCCTAACAAGCTATTAAGCAGAACGTATTGAACCACCTTTCATGCCTCGTCATGTTTTATTGCCAGAAAAGGCTGCGTTCGGCTCGTTTTAAGAACTTGTAATTAAGCTGTACAAATGTTGCATAATGTTTAATAGTTTAATGAAACGCGCTCTAGTTCGAGACGCGGCGAGAAGGGAAGGAAAAAAAAAAAAAAAAAAAAGAAAGGTCTCCCCCTTTCACGATGCTCCCTCTGGTCCTTCTATTTAGCGTTTTTCCAGCCGTTTTCGCCGGGGGAAATGCAAATCCTCACCCGAGGGCTCCTTTGGCCGGGAGATGCTGGGGAGAGCAGCCCATCAGTAGATGGCGGTGGAGACCTTGCAGAAGGAGGCGGCCGGTGCGCCCCGGGATGGGAGAGCCCAGCGGCCGGGCTGCCTCCCAGACCTGCTGGGACATAACCCCTGGAGGATGAATCCTCCCCAGAGAGCTGCCACAGCCCTTGGTACGACCTTTGTTAACACCTATTAGTCATTCCCACCCGGGGACGCCGCCAGCCCTGGTCTAACTGCAGGTGGGCTCCAATCACTGCGCAGGAGTAGCATCTCTCTCAGGAGCAGCCCCAGGCCCAGTGGGTACCCAAAGAGTATGGGTGCACAGGAGAGATGGATATGCCCTGACCCAAAGATACCCTCGCCCAGCAGAACCGACGCAGATCAGCAGAGCCAAAGAAACACCTGCCAGGCAATGGAGTTGCACTAGTGTGACACAGGACATATTTTGGCTTCTAAAGTTGTTGTTGATAGTCAAGTACACAAGAAAACAACTCCCTTTGTGCTCAGAGCACAGGATGAATGGGTCAAGACCTCAGTTCAAAACCACAGCCTATCTCCTGAGCTTTCACAGAACATCCTCTTGTCTGTAAAACTGATCCTGAGCATATGGGACATAGAAATCACTGGGACATAATCACAGAATCACAGAATCTTCTAGGTTGGAAGGGACCTCAAAGATCATCTTGTCCAACCGTCAACCTAACTGACAAAAATAGACACCCACACAACAAACAAGAAGCATCACCATCACTAAACCATACCTCCCAGCACGACATCAACTCGTCTTTTGAACACCTCCAGGGATGGTGCCTCAACCACCTCCCTGGGCAGCCCATTCCAATGGCTGAGAACCCTTTCGGTGAAAATATTTTTCCTAATATCCAGCCTGAACCTCCCCTGGTGTAACTTGAGGCCATTTCCTCTCGTCCTGTCACCTGTGACTTGAAGTCCTAGGATGCTATTTCTATGTGATTCTTTTTCAGAGGGGGGTACACGCTTTAAAATGTAAACCAGCATGCCCCTTACCCACCAAAAGAAAACACTGTGATGCTGTCAGGTACTCAGAAGGTATAAATCAGCAAGTTTCAGTGGGGCTGTGGTGATTTATAGGACCAGCTCAGGATGTTGCTTGAAATGATAGCAAAAATGTCTATCACCTCATCATTTCTATATAACAAGTACAACAATCTGTACCAAGCTGTCTTAAAGAAAGCCCCCATGAG